TAGCATTACCTATATGAGATTGATGTGGGATCGCATCTTTGAGAATTGGTATGGCTACAATTCTCTAAAGGTCTCATGAAATCAGGATATGTTCAGGACCAAAATGAACTCAACCGTATGAATTGACGTGTGTTCAGATGTGATATGTGTGATACTTATTGTTTCGATTTTACTACAAAGAATGATCAGTTCAAGATAGTAAATTCACTGCGTCATTAGGTAAAACCGATAAGTACTCACTAGAGAAGGTTCAAGTCCAAAAGACACCTATCCCGATGCGTATCATATCTAAGTTCTCTGGAAGTACATTACTAATATAGCTAGTATCTTATTTTCAATTCAAATGTGGGGTATTGCTAAAGTTTGAATAGAAAATGTGGGGTATTGTTGGAACTTGTGTTTTCTGTGGGACTTGGAGTCCCACATCGCCCAAACACCTTTCATATTAAGTCTTTATAAGTGAGTTCACTCACTTATAGTTTGAAAAGAATTGGGCCAAAGCCATGGACCTTGGGCCTTAGAATTGGAGAGTTTGGGTGTATATATTAAATGTCAAAGATGGGCCTTGGGCCTTGGGGCTCTTGGGCTCGGATGGACGAAAAACACAAGTTACGTTTTTGATTTTTTGGATTCAGTTTTTTCCGAAAGGATAAAACTGATTGAACAGTTACGTTCAGTTTTTATTGAACAGTTGCATTCGGTTTTCTTTTTACAAAAACTGATAAGCCTGAACGGTTGGAGAAGTTCAAATTATGCCATTATATATATGGCAATAAAAATCAGAAACCAGAATCAAGTTTTTCCATATTCATTCCTCCATATTTCGCTGAGAACCACACAACCAATTCGCCAAGAATCCAAGTTTGAGTGCAAGAACTTGGATTAGATAGTTGTATCCTGCAAGATAGACGTCCATTTGAACTACTGCACTGGTGTAGGGACGTATTTCTGTCTTAGGAGATTGCTACTGCAAGCCTCTATCTTCTTAACCAAGTCAGTGTTTTGTGATTCATTAATTCAGTTTTGTAATTGTTTATATTGTGAGATATATAGATATATATATATATATATATATATATATTGTTTCCTTGTGAAATTACTATTCGAAATAAACTGTGCAATTGTTGTATAATATATAATACTTAACATTTGATTGTCTCTAACAGTCAATTCACTCTTTGGCCAACACGTGGCAATGAAGTGACATTTGTGTAGATCCACTTGCATGCTTTCTTAGGAGGACAGCACATGAAGAGCGCCTTGCTCAACTTTGGAGTTGGTGGGAACCCGCACCCGAGTGCCCTATTTATTAGCTGTTATGTCCCTTCATAGGCTTATGTTCTCTTAGATAGCTGCCGCACGACCTAGAATTGACGTCTGAGTAGGCATTGCCCTCTATTCCTAGGACTTTGTGTTGTAAAGCTGTCAGTTCACCAATTTGTCTTTCGAGGATTGGAAAGTACTTTGTTGGGAAGCGTTCGGCCTAATCACTGATAGGCAATCTGGATTGCCGAGCCATCTTCTGTAACACTCGGGTTTGTTCTCCCAATCTCATCGAGCCTTGGCCTTTCCTTCGACTTCCTCTTCGATGAAGACGACGATGCCGCCTTATTCAACACATCATATAAAAATTTGAACGTGGCTAACATCACCATAACACAGATCCACTAGGGTACACAGTCGGGCATGAATTGACTGGGTGGGTAGTGCGGCACAACTGGGCTCACCAATTGCCTTAGTTTCAGGGCTGGGTTGGAGTATGATTTTTTCAATTTTTTGGGAAATGGGCTGGTGCTGCTCTTGGATCATAGCAATACTACCCTGTTTGATCATGAACATATTCTATAAATATACGCTTCGCGACACGTGAGTCCAAGTTACTTTTTGGTGCTTGAGGATTAAGACGTGGTGAACTTCGAAGTGTTGGAGGAGAGTTGAATAGGAGTTCGAAAGTTTAAGATATTGGAGGGAATGTGGTTAATAAGGTAGAGACACGGCCTTAAAAGCTTTCCAATAACATCGATATCACACTTAAATCAACTCCACAAATATGAGAAAATAAGGACAAAAGTAATTTCCTAAGGGATCCAAATTATGTTAGTGTCTTGTGCCATAACCAAATTTCACTTTTTTGCTTCACCGTTTTATCACCACCAGCCTTGAAAGCTTGAACAAATTGTTGTCACTATTCACACCACCCACTATAAGAGTGAACAAATAATTTGCCATAGATCACATGTCATATGATTCATTTGATCAGGACTCAATAATTCATATACTATTATGTGGTGGTATATAGACGAGCAGTCTCGAGAAGAAAAACATTTTAAGATGTCAAGTAAATTTAACATCTCTCAACGGTCAACTTCCAATAAAGTAGATTTGAATTTCGTACAAGGCAACGGATTCCTTGTCCAAATTACCAAAGAAACATGACTCCTTCCATAAATTCCCATGAATCAAAAAGGCAAACAAATAATAAACCAAAAAGCTTCGTTTGTTGTCTCTGCCTCCCTGCTTTATTAAACTCGTGCACCCACCACATCCCTTTCATAATCATTCGACTCCCCAACGTTACTATTTTCAAAAACCCTTTGGACTTGGAGCCAAACGGATTTAAAAACTTCCCATGTCCACCGTCACCTCCTAACCCCCTTTTCCTTCTATCTGTCTGCCTATATCAAACCACATTCCTCACTGCTGCGAAAACTAATGAGGAGCTGGTAGCTGGGGGACTTCTACTATGGGGTGTTTTCTTGCCTGTTTCGGTTTCTCTAAGAAGAAAAAGCGGCGAAAACCTGCTACTAAAGCCGCCGGTGGTGACCATGTACATTTCTTTATCTTAACCTCAATCCATGCTTTCAAGTTTCAGTTTTTGTGTTTTGATGTGTTGGTGTCACAATATTAACCCAAAGTCGGGATGTTTGATTTTTTATTTAATGATGTTGCTGTAGAGACGTGTGAGTTATGTACCACTCGATTCATCTGTCACAATTATTGGTGTTGATGGTGCAAAAGAATGTTCGAAATCTGAACTATGCAGGTCAGTTCTTGCTTTTAAACTCCGACTTTGTATTGAGATTTGATCTTTGGAACGATTATTTTACCGGCATTCGTTTTCGTTGAATATTTTGTTGTTTCAGAGACAAGGCAAAGGAGCAGACAAGGTTGAAAACCCGAAAGAAAGTTAGCTTCAATCCGAATGTGCAGACCTATGAGCCTATTTCGACCGATTACCGTTCCTTGGAGAGCCATGAGGAGGAAGACTTGGAAGAAAAGAATGTCAAAAGCTTTTCCACTTCAGCATCTAAAAGGGATTCAACTACTTTGAGATTGGGACTGTTTCCCTCAAACTACAGGTACCAAAATGTACGGGACAGCTACGAAGAAGAGGAAGGCGATTCAGATGACAATGATGTCGACGTTGATGATGAGGATGACTACTATGATGACGATGAAGAGAGTGATTTCGATGAACAACGAACAAGCCGAGAAGGGTTTTCGGAGGAACTGTGTTCTGCCTCTAGAAATGGAGAATCGGAGTATCCAAATGCTAGGGATTATAAGTATGTACATTCTGTACTGAGTCCAGTAGAGAATCTCATACAGTGGAAAGCAGCGAAAGCGAAAACAGCAGCACCACAAAAGCACCAAAAGGAGAATATTGCATTATTTCAACAACCCCAGATGCCTTATAGCAGCAGGTCGAATGTTAACCGGTCCACGAAACCTCTATTGCAACAAATCCCAGTTCATGCCAGTCTTTCGAGTTGGTTAAATTCGCAAAGTACTAATTAGTCGGAGGAGACCGGATTGAATCTTGATCGTCAATAGTTGCACAGTTTCTGTAACCGGAAATTAGTGCATTGGACAGATTACATTTCATTCATGGCAAAAAAGAGAAGTTGATACAAAAGGTGTGATTTTTTGGGGGATTTGTTGGATGTGTTTGTGCATTTGTTTCTGAGTGTCTTGATTCTTGTAAAAGAGGATGTTTGATAGATTTGTGCTCCTATTGGGGGGCTTGGTTGTTTGTGTAAGAAATTGACTGTAATTCTGGCAGAGAAATGTATGAGAATCCAGATTACTGAACAATGGTTTGCCGCAAAAGATTTGATGGGTATTTTGGTCTTGGCAAATCTTGGATTTGCAGAGTCAGGAATTTTCGAGGGGGTGGGCTACCTAATTTTTTACCTTACATTTGGAGTATCTTAGTAAAGTACGTGAGTTAGCGCTACCACACTAAACAAAACCTAAAATAAGCAGAATAGTACGGATAAACTTTTTCTCACCCCAAAAGGTCCGGTTAACCTTGTGTATGTCTCTCTCTATGTCATGTGAAAAGAGACATAAGAGAATATACAACCGGTCATAAGACCGAAGCTGAGTGGGCCAAGTTGGTGGGATGAGTTTTAAAATTCACTCTACCAAATAATGCACGGATGCAAGATGGATGATGTCTTTTCTCCTTTCTGTCAAGTGCTGAAGGAATAGAGAAGAAAAGGAACAAACAGAATCGAAGCACGTTTATTTAACATGATATGGTTATCAAAGTATGCTGTAGTTCTAATTACATACAAAGTACAAATTATGCATATCGTAAAACAAAATAATTCTCGACTGTGTTTGATATATTACATAATGTGGAAGCCAAATTGCCGTTATCTGTGTCTGCTTTCGTCCCCGGAAGATGGTCCACTCAGTTTGCATCTGGTTATAACGGCAGTCATGGAAACTTAACCCCAAAAATGGTACTATACTTGGATGCAAGACATGGGAGACTGGCTGTCTTGCTTTGGTCTCAGGACCTTTGGTCCATCCTTGACACAGTGTGTTCTAATAGAGGCAGTCAAATTCATAACAATCAGCTTCGAGAAAATTCCTAATTGAATTACCCAGCAAACGTATCCTGATAAACGGTGTACCGAATGATATCTACATGATGGCACATATGCAAGAATCTGCATCCTCATCATCAGAATCACTAACATCGCTGCAGACGAACAATGAGACAGGGTCAGAAACTAGTAAGTCGAAAATAAATGTAACAGTAATTTCATACGGGTGCAAATACCATCATAAATAGTTACTACTCCATTAGTAATTTTGTTTTCCAACTTTAACCGGATTACAAGCACATAGGTACGCCATGAGAGATTTCTTACTTCAATCTAGCAAAATGTAGCAAAGCAGAGTGTATATATTTTCATTTGAGCAATCAATAAAAGATGTGCTAAAACAACACTTTGTGATAATTTGTTTTCCAATTCCTTGAGTGCAGACGTGCACGCGCACACACTCACGTACTAAGACACCGGTGAGAAGCTACTTCCTATGTGAATTGCAGAGAGCCATTATGTTTATGCAGACAATTGAGCGCTAGATAAAAGGATATTTCAGTATCGATAGCACGAAAATGAAGGTTACCATGTTCATAACAGACCAGAGACATGAAGGTATCCATTCTCAGCAGTTCCATAACAGGCCAAAAAGTTGTGGAGTAACGATTAATCAACTTTACGATCATTTAGGGCAAAAGAAAAAAAGTAAATATATCACGATAAAGTCAAAAGAACTTGACGTCAAGAGCACATTCAAGCGTTTAGTCACGCACATCTGCATATCCACACAAAAATGGATGTCATCTACTAAAGTATCACAATTCATAGTCAAGATTAGATAATGTACTAATAGTCATACTAGTCAACCCCACTCGTGATAAAGACCACTAAAATGCCTATAATTTATTAAATTTAATAAATCTAACTTAACAAAGGCAGAGACCAAATGCCTCCAACATACTTTCCCGTTATTTAACAAGCGCAAAACATTGCTTTAGAATCATGGACCAGAAAACATTGCAAAAAATGACCCAGATCATCAGGAATTTGTAGCCCATGCAAACTTGGCTTAGGCATTTCATCTGCCTCGCCATGTTTGGCAATATTATTCATATACTATATATATACACACACACACATAAAACAAAGAAAAACAATTCATCAAATGCCTTGTTTTGTATTAACTTAAGTTCACAACAAGAAATCTAGGCAGAGAGGATCAGAGCAGGTGCCTTACATTATTAAGGTAAGATTCTCGATAAGATGAAAGCAGATCTATTCATCTAACTGAATTGACACTAAAAGGGTGAATTACAAGGTTTTTAGCACTCCAAAATAGTAATCTTACAATCATTCCTCCCTTAACATTTCATATTGAGGAGTGCACGATGTCTATTTTGGAGTGCCAATAACAGCTCCCAAACAAAAACTGAACGAAGATTGTGACTTGACAAAGATGGATATAATGGAAACTTTTCCAGAGCTCATATACAGAAAATTAAACAAAACCTCAAATATTCAACTAACCAAACCTACTCTAACGATATAACAATAAACACTCGTTCACCGTAGTAGAATGGAACCTGAATTTATCGACTCTTAAAGTCTCATGCCTCAAAATCAAATAGGTTACAAGGGTAGGAAGAGTTGATAATCACTTCAACTCACTTTTGTGGCAATAGAAGTCAAGTAATTAACTAATTAGTAGAATCACAAGCTAAATTCACTTCTGTAGTCTATCCAAAATGATGCCAAATATCTTTCTCGAAAAACCATGTAACCTATGCTGTCAGGCAACCAAGCTAAGAAGGACTACAACATTGTAAACAAAACGGGTGGCTGCAGGCTTGGTCGACGGCAGATGCCTATGGGACAGCGGAGAAACCCAAACCGCAAAGAAGTGCAGCTGGCTGGTAACGGTAATTACAAAAAGTAAACTAGAAAGCCGGGCCCTGTATATAGATAATGTGGGATAGCAGAATTGGAAAGTGTCATCACAGACGGAAGGGACAAATAAATTAGAGACGAAGACAGTAAATTCTAAAGCTAACCGTGGCAGAAATGACGCCTGAATCAAAGTCAATACGAAGAGTATAACAGCAACATGAAATTAAGAGACAAAGATATTGGCCAACAGTCAATCAAAATTCCAACAACCAGATCACAACGACGACAACGATAACTAAACAAAGCAAAAAAAAAAAAAAAAAAATTGCAACAATTTGATCAAAAGAATGCACATGTAAGGAGATAGAATTCAGCAAATGCATTACCTCGGTTCGAATTCCAGGACCTCAACAAGCTTATTCCCATTCCTATCATTCCACTGCACTTTTCGCCGAGTCTTATTCGTTTTCCTCGACATGCCCCCTCTCCGAGGAGGCAACAAAGAATTAGACTCACTGTCTTCATCTCCATTAACATTTTCCTCAACTTTCTGAGAGTCTCCGGTATCCGACGTCGTCTCAGTTTTACACCCATTAGCAGTACTAGCATCCTTAGCATCCGTATCCATCAACAAATTCACAGCCCGACCCAACAAAATCGCACCCCAAAAGAATCCAAATTCAACCAGAAACCCTTCCAATTTCTGAAATTTATCAAAAACCCATTTGATCCAAATCCCTGATTTGGATAAATTCGCAAAACTATCCCCTGAAGTTCAAATCTTGCAGGTCGTAGTGGACGTGAATCGCCATTTCCGCGAAAAGTCAACGCCCATCCTCGACGCACGGTTTCAAACAGCAATGGGATGAAATGGAAAAGGCGACGAAATCGAAAGAGAGAAGAAGGAAAGCCTGGCAATTATTAAAAAGTAGGAAAATATTTCACCGGGAAAATCCTGACATTTTCCCCAGAAAGTGACGAAAAATGTACAGTTTCTTTTTCTTAATAGACCCCTTTGCATGAATAGGAATACGTGGTCTAATAAATGACTCTGAACCGAGAATCATCATGGTCACCGGACCAACGGATCCGGATTTTTGAAATATTATCCAACGTTTCACTTGTTTTGATTTTAAAAATCATAATAATTTTTGCTTATTGAATAAAATTTTAAAGACTTACATCATTTGATAGTGAGCTTCGTAGAAGAGATTCAGAGAAATATCTTCCCCTCTGAACCAACTACTAAAAAATAATACGATAGTTTTCTTTATTATTTATTTTTAAATTAACCAGCTGGTGGCTTTGTTAAAGTAATTTTTTTTTTTTTAAGATCAGAAAGACTCACAAAAATAAAGACGTTTCAATCTTTTTCAATCATTATCGTGTGATTCAGGAACTTCATAAATTCAATTTAAAATATTTCGGTGTCAATTTATTTTACATTTTTATATTTTTTTAAAACGACCCTGATAATATTACTTTTGTCACCTACGATAAAAATCTTATTTGCTTGATTTGAAAGGGCCGGATGAGATGAGAGAACGCGACACTAAAAGTAAACAACTTATAATTTGCATGAGTTTAATTTCTTTATGGGCTAACACGTGGCAGGATATGAGGGTATGTGTGTGTGGTAGTTAATGTCGTTGTAACAGTGAGGGTTGGCGGCGTCAACACTCAACACTATGAAATACAGCCAAACGGTACAATTGTACAGCCGACATGTTTTATCTTCTTTTTCTCTATTTTGGAATTTAGTCCCCTTTTTTTTTAATCAGATAATGACATTTTTTATTTTTTATTTGAGTAAATTGCTGATTTCTTTTGAACTTTTATTTAGTTTTCATTTTTTAAAATCAAGGATTCCAATTTTTTTTTTGGCTGATTTTCCTTGCAAGTTTTTCATTCATTCCATCCAAATTTTTGTTATATGAAAGTATGTGCATAATATGTGAGAGTAGTTCAGTTGCTTTGATCTTTAAAATAATTGAAAACCCTAGGCTAAAATATCGACCTATGCAAATCTGTGTGATTCTATAACTTTTGTGTCTAAAGATCTAATGAAGTGATGTTTTAGAGTTAGCGTTAATTTGGATGAAATCTATGGAAAACTCATGGTAAGGGGCAATCGGCCAAAAATTAGTTTAAGTCCTTGATTTTCCAATTAAAAAGTTTAGGGGGTAAATCGAAAGTTAAGTGAGAGTTCAAGGAGAAATCAGCAGTTTACCTTTTTTTTTTGTTTGTTTTTTTTTTTGGATAGTGTTATTGACGCATTCTTGTTCATTTTTGTCAATTAATTTTCTTTAATTTGTTTGATCCAACAACTCAAAATTGAAAAGGGTGCGTGAGAAAGAAAAATAGGCGTATGGATAATATTATCTTATTTTTTTAGCTTTACTTTTTGAAATGTGTGATATTCATTTTTTGTATATGAAATATATTTATACTAAGAGATGGGAGGAATGAATTGAATCAAACTCGTCATTAACAAAATTTATATTTAAGAATTTCACTTATAAATGAAAAAAATATCATTAAACAACAGAACCAAGTATTCCTTGAAATGCTAAGAATACGTACAAGCACGATCCACATTTTATTTATTTACAATCTTTAGGGGAAATGTGGACAATATTGAACTTTGATCAGGACAGCCTAAATTAATTGAGCTATATATATCATCAAACTTTTTTTCTTTATAATTGGTGCCATTGTATAACAATACCATTCATAATGCCAAAAATGCTTTTTCTTCTTTCAGCTTTTAAAAATCAAAATAAAAAATGAATTAAATAAGTGCAAAGTCGAAAATAGTTTTTAAATAAAAAATTCAGAAGAAACAACCTCACCCACATAAAAAAGTTAGTGGCCTTTTTCATGAATTTGTCACAAATAAAAAATTGTAAAAAGTTTTTTTCTTAAGAATTAAAAATCCAACAAAAAATATATTAAATACCAAATAGTCAATTATCTCGTGGCAAGAGGCTAGTAGAAAAGACAATGGCTTGCCTTTCAATGCCTGTCAAATTTTGAAATGGTTAGGCACACCAACTTAGCAATATTAACGTTGTCTTATTCTCCTACATAAGTTTGCTAATTCACTCCGAATTTTTTCATAATATGTGTTATTGCGTGGTTTGAAAGATAACGGTTAAATCTTGTATATAGAGATCTAATGAATATTTACACCGGTTGAATTTGAATAAAACTCATACCATTAAATAAAACGTAATATGATATATATTATTGTGTGATTTGAAAAATAATGGTTAAATCTTGTATATAGAGATCAAATGAATATTTACACTGGCTGAATTTGAATAAAACTCATACCATCAAATAAGAGATAACATGATAATTGACCTCATAGTACTGGAGCTAATTTCATGTGTCAGACTTTTTATTTTTAAAGGAATCTTGATGGGGACCATTCTACATGTTCTTTCAGAGGGAAGAGGAAGACACAAGAGCATAATTTTGCATTAAAAAAAATGAACTAAATACTAGTTTGGTACTAATGTCACATCCCAGCCTGGGGCGGATTACTTTCCGGGCCCGCTCCACCACCGTAGCACGATATTGTCCGCTTTGGGCCCCAACCACGTCCTCATGGTTTTGTTTCTGCGAACTCACACGAGAACTTCCCGATGGGTCACCCATCCTGGGAATGCTCTCACGCACTACTCACTTAACTTCGGAGTTCCCATGGAACCCGAAGCCAGTGAGCTCCCAAAAGGTCTCGTGCTAGGTAGGGATGGGAATATACATATAAGGATCACTCCCCTGGGCGATGTGGGATGTCACAACCCACCCCCCTTAGGGGCCCGACGTCCTCGTCGGCACACACGCAACCAGGGTTAGGCTCTGATACCAAATTATCACATCTCGGCCCGGGGCAAATCACTTCCATGGCCTGCTCCACCACCGTAGCACGATATTATCCGCTTTGGTCCCCGACCACGCCCTCACGGTTTTGTTTCTGGGAACTCACACGAGAACTTCCCGATGGGTCACCCATCCTGGGAATGCTCTCGCGCACTACTCGCTTAACTTCGGAGTTCCCATGGAACCCGAAGCCAGTGAGCTCCCAAAAGGTCTCGTGCTAGGTAGGGATGAGAATATACATATAAGGATCACTCCCCTGGGCGATGTGGGATGTCACAACTAAGGTGATTTTATAAAATGTAGATATAAAAAAATAAAAAAAAAACTAAGCTTAAAAAGATATTTGGTAAACACTTAAAAACAGCTTATTTTTCACAGTTTTGTGTGAAAAAAAAAATAAACTAAAAATGTGAAGCAACAAAAATTAGCTTATTCTCACAGCATAACAGAAACGGCTTATTCTCACAGCACAACAAACAGTTTTTTTTTCAACGCATAGTAATACCAAACCAGCCCTAAGATTGTCTCTTCTCCTACTTTCTATCCTCTCCTACTTTATAGCCGTCCATTCCTTGCCAAGGTAATTTAAGGCTCCAGATTACGCCACGTCACCAACAACACTCAAGTTTCTTTAAGCCCAATTTTCCTAACTCTTATGCTGCCATTCCCGCCCCCTCCAATCTGCCATAGGCATTGCCTGTGTTTCTAAAACCTTTTATACAGAGTGATGTTATTTTTATCCCAATATCTTATCTTCCCACTCACCTTTTAATGAGTTTTTTAATTACAAAGTTGTCCATTTGTAAAAAGATTGATAAGAACATTAGTTATCTTGTTTTGCTTAATTTAAAAAAAAAAAAAAAAAAAAAAAAGGGTTGGGCGTGGGAGGCGATTTGTCTACCTTAAACCTTAACTCATATTTTCATCTTCTTTCATTCAGAGAAAGTAAAAAAATATATCAATGGACTTAGAAAATGACTTTTTCATTGAAGAGGTGGAAGATGACGCTTCTACGGAAGAGGTAGAAGATTATATTTCCATTGAAAAGGTAGAAGAATAATTTGTGTGTGGATCATTTGAATTTGTCTATCGTATTTTTGAAATTTTCATCAAATTCTTTTGGATTTGGATACCTCTTTCATTTCCATTTGAATTTGTAGACCTTAGTGGTTTTCATTTACATATTATTTTTTGTTTATATTTTTTTAAGGGACAATTTTATAATTTCATATGTATGTATATATTAAAGGTTATTTTGAGAATAATAGTGGGTGGGGAAATAACATTTTAATTTTTGAACTTTTTAAGGTGGGTGAGATTATAACGTGGATGAAAAAATAAGACAACGGAGTGGGTCTAGTAGCTCTCTTTATATATTTGTTTTGTTATATACTATGTTTTTGTTGCTAATACAAAAGTAAGAATGCTTTTGCTGGGAAACAAAATTTCATAAGCCTGGAATGCATATTCAAAACTAATAAGCCTGGATTGTAGCATCAAACTCTGCAGATTCAAAATTAAACACTTGGACTGTAGCACCAAAAACGGCAGATTCAAAATTTCACAAAAAATATTTGTTTTGCAGAAACCAACAGTATGAGTGCTTTGAATCTTTCTTCCTCCTCATTTGTCATTCCATAAAAGTGCCATAAGGTGCAAAATTGTGCACACAACATCCTCACCATCATCAATGGTACTTTTTATTCTTAAATCAAGGGATTCCCTATATTGTTCTTGAAAATCCTCAAATATTGTTACTCAGACAAAAGCAAGAGTGGTTTTATGGTAGGAAAATTGGAGTGGGAGGGAAATGCAGCAGAAAAGCCAGAAAAATTGGGTTTTAAAGAAACTTGAGTGTTATTGGTGACGTGGCTAAATCTGGAGTCTTAAACTAACTTGTCATGGAATGAACAGCTGATAAGGTAGGAGGGGATGGAAAAGGATGAAAAGTAGGAGGGGACACAATCTTGGTCCGCAAATATGATATGGTGACTTGGATAGCAGCAGTGGTCGAGATTATATCGAGGATAGCCACATAATTATCAAAAGGGAAATGATGAGATAAATTCCAAGAGGCATGATAGAATCGAAATACATCATACAACCTATCATCGAAGGTATCCGCTCCTATAAGTACAACACGACAGTCAATTTGAAGGGACTTTTAAATCAATACATAAATTTGCCCTGCGCAATTTCTCGCTCTATGAGAACGCTCTTGCTTTTGAGAATACAACTGACCTCCCTAACTTCGTCAAGCATACCTCTCAATTTGTGTTAAATAGCTTTATGACTGACAACCGGCAACATCTCTAGTTTATGTTAAACAACCCTAGAGTCGTTGAGTCAGGCGACCGAGGAGCATCTCATAGTTTGTGTAAACAACTCTACTCCAAGTTCGATTGACTACCTATCCAAGTCTTTGTCAACAATGGTTATTTGAGTCCTTGTTGGAAGATGTCACTTCATTAGCTTTCTCGGTGGAGTGAGGTGTTACCGAGTTACATTGTTCGGCACAATGAAAGCCGAACCCATTTTACAATTAGATACTCATAAGTGCACTTCAGAGTTCTGCATTCCAATGGCTGAACCACATTTACAATCCAGACACTTATATCTTTCGAGTATTTATGTCCATACAGTCTAGTATCTATTTGGCGCACTTATATTTGCACAAATATAATTAAAGCAATCGAGCCTGGTGCAAATGATTCGTGAACTTCGCAGTGACTAGCAGCCTTGTCTTCAGGCTCTAGGACCCAAAGGTTGAGACGAGTTCTTTCCTCGTAAGCACTCAGATAAGAAGTCAGCAACGCGTTTGACACCACCACCACCACATCATTTACTCACTGACCAAGCTCGATTGTCGAGTTGGCACGCCCTGCATTCAACCAAAAGTAATGTTCTAAAAATCGACTTAAGTAGCTGTTTACGGCGAACCACCATTGCGATTATATCAAAAGCGTTCAATTAGTCGGCGCCTAGATGGCCGAATGGGAGGGCTAGGCGGCCTCCGGCCGGTTTTGTAACTTAAAAAAAATAAAAAGTTATGGCTGCAAAGGTTGTGCATCTCCGCTTCTTGTTGCGTTTTCATCGTGTCTTGCATCGTGTCCCCTCCTGCGTGCGTAGAAGAGGAGTCGGCATAAAACATTTAATGCGAGAGACCTCTATAAAATTGAAATTGCAGAGAAGAAAAAGTGAGACGGCGCAAAGGTTGTGTTGACTAGGGTTAGAGTTAGGGATTTTAAATTAGCTGATGTCTTTTAAGATTAGGGACTAAATTATATTATTTATTTGATGTGAAAACGAGGCTCAATCCTTTTTTGAATGAAAAACGAGGCCCATTAATTATTAAAATATATAGGCTTAGAAAAAATGTTACAAAACTAAGAGAAAGCATCCTAAAATTTTACATATATACTCATATTTTATAATATACGCAGTAAATTAATCTATATGTCATTTTATTTTACAATTTATGTATCTTGATACAATTATGTATTTTTTTAAATGTAAACAAACACTTATTTTTACCCACAACAAAGTTTTTATGAGACAATGAGGATTGCATCGAGGATTTAACATAGAAGGTATTACTTTACTATGTTTCTTCAGTGACTTGGATTGCATGCAAAGGTACAACTTAAATAAATCCACCAAGAAATGAGCACAGTGACAGAAAAGTGCTTTTGCTTTGTATTTTATTCACTGACAAGTTAGCAGCAAAGAAGAGTGAGTAGGCAAGTTGCTTCAGAAGTTGCTAAACTTGATTGCAACATTGAACTTAATTTTTACTCCAATTTCAATTTGTCCAAAAGCAGTTGTTGGCTGTGACATTGTATATATTTACATCCCACCCACCCATTTGAAATTAGGAGGAGATATGAGGGGTAGAAAATTTCCGGGAGTCAGGATGGCATGCTTAGAGAGGGCATCCCCAGCTTTGAAGGGAATTCTGCTCAAACGGTACCGGTAAGTACATTCGAGTTTTCGTGCTTACAATCCTTGATTCGAGATACGTATTGTAGCAAATTTGTTACGTTATGTTCTTCACAGATTAGAAAGAGCTGCTTAGCAATAATCATATAGAAATTTAGATGTCTGCATTCCTGAAAAGAGTTGAAACAGTAAACTGTTACTGCTGTTAATCAGTTATAATCAGTGTGCATGTAAGGCAGCATTATCTTCATCCATCAGTGTCAAGCAAGCCATCATCCGGCGATGTTTTACAAAGCGTAAAAGCTAAAAGAGCGAAAACTAAGACCGAGAAATACGGGAAGAAAATTTGACATTGTAAACTTCTTCAGTGAAAAAATAGAGCAAATACAAGAGATTTAACAAGATTATTGACAATGGAACGGAAAAATGTCGTAGACAGAAATTATTACAAAAATGTATAAATGGTAGGAATTTGGTGACAGGGAGCTGTGGTTTCCAGGTAGATAAGCATTATGTGTCCAGCAATGAGTTGTGGGTAGCACAAACCTGTATATATGGTTCTCCCACTAAAACCTGTACCTGCGACATATTTCACCAAATTGAAGAGAAATGTCACGTTCACCATCTTATCGTCTAAACTCGAAGCTGGTTGAATAGAAGAATTCCTAAACAGCGCTGTTTCTGCGGTGTTTAATTAATAATGGAATGATAAATTACTAAAAGCTTTTTCCCAGCTCGAAGATGGTTGAAGCTGTCAGTATTTTAGAAACGAAAACACACTCTGATAATTAGTATTGTTGCTTTCATAACAGTGACAGCAATTTGATGGAGATTGATCATCACTTATACGAATTCGGTTCTGTTGAATACCATATCCAGGTGAGTCCTCAGTGTGTACAGATTGAATTTAAAACATTGTAGCCAAGATGTGAAGCTAGTAATAATGTGTGGGTGGAAAATACCTCATCATATGGTTTTTCAAGCAGGTAATTTGATATCTCTTCTGATGATTTTCGTGTAATAAAACAGTCTTCAGCATCAGATACACATTATATCTACTTGTCAGTGTCAACCCCGCTCCTTTCCCAGGGAGTCATGCATCCGTATGGGATTTCGCAATATACTAAACAGATGGTAAAGGGAATTCGTCCTGGCGTTGTGGAGATTGTTGAACCTGCAAAAGAAGGATACCAGCTTACTTTAAGACTTGATTTTTCTGAGATTCCAAATGGAAAAGGTTCGATATTCTTTCATACATCATCCCGATAATATACAAAAATTTAGTCATATCATATATGTCAAACATAGCTTGTTACCAAGATGCTTGCAAATTTCATTTTGTTTAGATGACTGCTCACCTTGATAGCCAAAGGAACAAAAAGAAACAAAATAATGAAACTCCGTAACCCATTACGCTAACAATGCTTTCTTGAATTCCAAGCTTCTTTTTCCTCCCATCCCTATAAATAAAGATGACATAACTTGTCAATACGGCAACACACCACGAGCTGCAGTGAACGTCTCAAAACAAGTCTGAATAGTATGGAAAGCAGCTACGTCCTGCATATTTAATCAGTATGATAGTAAAACCATTTTCGTACGGTACTGTTGATGCTAACATTGTAATTATGCATGCATTTTTCTCTCTCTAGATTCTGTGAAGGTAATTGCAGACATTGCTGCTGTGCAAGCAGTAATCTTAAGTTCTCAGCTGAAAGAAATGTTGATGAATGTTAACCCTCAAGATACATCGCAAGGAATCTATAAGCCACTCAAACTCGAATATCACCCAAGAGAGCCTTTCTTTATTATTAGACAGGTAAATCATTAGCAAAATTAAGAAGAGTGCTGATTCAACTGAACTTATTCTAATTAATTTACTCTATAGTTCTAATGTACAATGAAGATATTCATGTTTAACAGCCACAGAAAATCATAGCAGTATTCCCGATACGTTTCAAAGACAAAACAGATGTCATTATTGCAACGGCATTCTTTCAGGTTTGTGACTGATGACTGATGCAGTGAAGTAAAGATTTTCTTATTAGTAGTCAATGAAATCATACTATTCCTGCTAATGTAAAGATTCTTATTAGTACAGTCAATGATCTCACCCTTCCTGCTATTCCTTACAATAACTGGTTTACATTTTATTTTTCTTGATTTTCTATTTTGTTCTCCTTCTGGGGAATGGAGACAGGAGCTTATGGATGTCGGAAGTTCTGAAAAATGGAGGAAAGCGCCTCCTTGTTGCTGGTCACCCATTCCACCTCCAGAGTTAAGAGGAGAAACTTTTGAAGATTTGAGTACGAATGGAGGATTTGTCTCTTTTGGTATCGTCTTAGACTCCAATCTAAGTACTCAAAGTATAAACTTTCCTCTTAATCACTGTAGATTTTAAAATTTCCAGTAACGAAGCTGCTTACTTAGCTTATGGTTGGTTTTCCACATATGAGATGAACATCAGCTAGACTCAGTCTAACACATTTGGTATTGACTTATATACAGAGATTTCTTCACGTCATGTCAAAGGTAAAAGACTAGACAAGACAGTATGGAGTTTACTGAATTTCTATGCCTATGTTAAATACCATGTAAAGGTAAAAACTCTACTATTTTATCGGGTTTCTACTTTTCCTTGTTGAGAAAATTCTCGCCTTATTCTAGAAATTTTCAACCAATGCATGGTTACATATTTAGTTAACAAGTTTGTTCAAGCAGAGCACCAGAAGTTTTATTCAGAGAAGGATGAGAAAGCATCTTGAAGGACTAGTTGAGGTAAAAGTAAACCCTGAAATACCAAATCAACTCAAGAATAATTTTTACCAGTAAACAATCTATTTCCCTTCTCTCATATGCAAAAGTCATTTTGGAGGAATACCCCAACAAGATGAGAAAACTAATATTCTTTACATGCTTGCAGGTCCTGGGTAAGCGAAGAAACACAGAAGAAAAAGAAAAAGACGAGGAAGAAGAAAAAGAGGGAAACCACAAGGTTCCAGGTGTGCTTTAAGCCTGTATACTTTGACAAACTCACCAACTACTATAAGTATATAAAAAGAACTTAGCTAATTTCATTACCACTCACTAATTTCACAAACTCACAAATTCATACAACAGATTCCATGCAATCCATGGAATGGAGTATTTTAGAAAGTTCTCAAAATAGAAGCTTTACAATGATAAAGTGACTGGTCATTACATTATTCTTATTAACTTCTGTAAGCAAACTATTTCAGACCAACAACAATTCATATTTTCTTGATTCCTGGTTATAACTCTCTCATTGCTTGCTTTCAAGCAAATGCAGGATGCATGAACATGAGAAAACTGATCAAGATATCAAAACCTAAAGTCCTACAGCGAAGGTATGATGACTTGAGCACGAAAATCAAGAGAATCCGTTGGCGGATTAAAATCCATGGATTTGGGCGTTTTCGTCGTCGATGGTTGAAAATGCCAAAGTTTTCTTCTTCAAAGGGATATATCAGATTAGAATAAGTTATTTCCCTACCTTATATGTTAGCTATTTATGACAGCAGTTAGAATAATGAACAATGCCCCCTATAATGGTACTTATGCAGAAACAATACAAAGACTGTAGATACCAAGTGAGTACTGTTTATAAACCTTCATGTGTTTTAAACTGGAACTATATCGTAGCTTAATTTGTATGTCTTAATATGTAATTCTGTGAAAGTCAGATAAACAGACCAGATTGATAACATGTTGTCCAAAACAATCAAATGATTCAGTTTGTTTTAAAATTTAAGAAAATAAGACAGTACTCACAGACATTTTCTGTACAAAGTTATGGCAACATCCATGAAAGGAAAAATAAGCAACGAGCACCAAGACAGCAGTTATGTATAAATTCGAAACTTGAAACATCAATAGTATAGTCATAAATTTGAAAATTAGAATCAACAAGTGAGATGATAGCTAGAGAAGTTTGGTGTAGCTGGTTTACTTGCTGCGGAAATAAGTAATTTGTGTGTTCTGAACATTTAAACAGAAAGATGTGAAAATAAATAGCAAAAAAATAGTAATACCTTATTTTGTGCTGGATTACTGAGATACTATTGAAAGGTTGAGGATTGACTTACCAGGGAATTTACCAGCTTCCACAATGAATCCTGATCATAGGAGGCCTTTAAACTGGCAGTTGTTAATAGCATCTCCAACTTCTAAGGAATCCTTTCAAATTTCAACTTTCATTCTCCTCCCTTAAAATGCATGTGGTTCACTGTACATTTTGAAGGAGGGAAAGAACATTGTATGTGGATAGTAAATTATTGATAAACTATGGAAACAACTGATTTCTGTACCAAGGCACATATGTAGCCAAGATGCAACAGTACAGATTCTAAAAGTCAAACATTAGGCAACCAGTCCACCAAATGCATTGCCAATACTTATTTCATACTAAAACATGTCTTGGTAAGCTACCTTATAAAGAGAAGCAAACAAAATTGAAGCCACAAGGTGAACAGTATCAACAAGACAGATTACAGTGCTTGTTATGTTTCTGAAAAGCTGCTGTTTTAAATCCATTTGACGCCATTGTCATTGAGCTCTCCAATTGTTAACTTTCAGAAGATAACCATTAGAGTCTTACTTTTTTCTGTTTTTAGCCTTCACCTATCCTTTTCTTCTAGATCCTAATTCCTAAAGCTTGAAGATCAACCAAAACATGGTATGTTGAACTGATAAATAGACGATGCAACCAGAATCGAGGAAATCTCATTTTTTATGGATGTGGAATAATACAAAATAGACTGATACTATTCCCTTATCATTGAACAAATGTGAGATCTTCACTTTTATCTGGTCCTCAGTTGACAAAATATTTCTGTTTGGTTCTCTGTTACTTAAAAATTGCAGCCTGAGTGTGAATATCCAAACACTGCAAAAGCTTGATATGTTGTTTTGAAAAACCAATTCAAATTTGATAAATGGAACAAGAGGTAGCTGTCATCAATGAATTCACTTAGATCATGCTCTTAAATTGAAGCAGTTTTATTTCCAAACACCAAAGAGAAAAACCAATTTGTACACTGCAATTGGCACTTGCAGAAAGGAAGATCTTGAAGGTGGTTCAAAATGATGAAGATAAAAGGGATATCAAAAGTAAGTGAACCATAGAGTTGTAGCTGCACAACTAGCGCTAATTTGTGAAAATGCACACAAATACAGGTCGTAAACTCTTTATGAGGATTACTGATACATCGAAAAAAACCAAGTTCTCCTTATAATAATTAATCTCAACTGGAGACAATCTAAAAACCAAATGACGGCATGCCATTAGAAAAAAGAGGAAAACACTACAAACTGAAGTGAAAGAATGAACAAAAGAATAAAATCTCCATTATATCTGAAACTTTGTACCAAAATTGACAGTTAACGAAAACAGAACAAGCATTTCATTCAAGGTCAATCTCACCGCCAGGAGGCATCAACACATGCTCCGAATCTAGCTGTGCTAGCAACGGACCACTGCCCTCGCCACCCTGCAAGTTCCAGTTACTTGCCAGCAAAGCAAACAACACAAAACTCAATACCAAGACCGCAATCGCATGGCCGATGAACAAGAGCATCATCACAGCAACACCCCTTAAGCCGTCCTCCTCAAGGTCACATTTCCACTCAGCATTGTCCTGGTTAGGCCACACTGACATTTTCTTACACCCGTTTAACCCAAATGCATCAGTGTACAAGGACAACCCCAGTTGCAAAATCCAAGTGCCCTTAAAAACCAATCCAGAGGACAAGAAAAACTCGGCGAAAAACGAACATGGCCTAATCGACAAATACAGGCAAGAAAATGCACAAATTAGAGTCAATGCAGCTAGCATATCATACACAGCGCCACCAAGACCCGAAATTCCCTTGCCGATCACAGAGTACTCAACGAAAAAGGAAACCGCTGCGAAAACGAAGACGAACCCTTCATTGAAATTCAAAGGGTCGATGTTTTCACGGAAGATGATCAGAAGGACGAGTGCCCAGAACATAAAAATGGCGGCTGATTGCTGGAAGAAGGCGAAGCGGTAGGTGGGGTGGCCGGAAAAGGCCAGAAATATGAAGATTTCGGAGAAGGAGGCGATGGGGAGAGCGATGGTGAGAGAGTACAAATCGAAGTTTTTCCATTTGGGTTCTGAGAAGTACCAAGCTTTGGATCGGTAGAGAGATGGGTTCTTGAGGTAGAGGGCGGAGGAGCAGATGAGGCGGCGAAGGCCTATGGGGAAGAGGAGGGCGAAGGCGGAGAAATGGGTTGCTAGTGATGCCATTTGAATTTATGAATTTTCTGATGTTTGCTTCTTCTGGTATGTGTTTGTTTCTGCTTTTCGTGCCTTTTTTCGTTTCGTTTCGTTCCGTTCGTTGACGTTGTGATTCTTGTGAACTTGTGAGGAAAGCTGTGAAATTCAGATACACATCTTTTACCCCTTATCCTTTACTCTCACAGAAGAATTTTTTTTTCTTTTTTTTTAATTCAATTGGATTCTTTATTAAACCATCCAAGTTCCAACAATCTAAAATTTAAACGTAAATATCAAAAATTAAAGTTGCGTCTTAATAAATCACGCTGCCAAATAACACTTTTCACTTTAGCTTTCCTAGTTTCCTTTATTTCAATGAAAGTTGGTTTATATTGAAGGAGAGTGCTATCAACTTTCTCACTAAACTTCTCATTTTAATATTCTCACTTCTACTCATGTCAAGTATACTCTACTAGCACCCAAAACTAAAAATTTAATTACCTTTTAGTTATACATTAGAAAGTGGGATTCTCTACCACCTTGCAGTTTAACGTCAGTTCATGTGCCAACATTAGAAAACATTGTGTCAAAAGCATGAGGTGACATAGAGTCTATAGAGAGTCCCATTTTTGAGAAAGACCTCTCATCATTTTCTGTATTTTTTTTTTGTTGAATTGGAAGTGCCTATTATTTAATATCTCACCAAAATCGATGTCCAATTAATGTTCCTCCTCATACAGCTTCAATACTACATAAGACGACAATGTATTACTGACTTCAAAGTTGAAACTACTTACCAAAAGAGCTTGAAATTCTTTACATAACTAAAAATGCTTTAGTAGAAAAAGAAGTGCTTTTAATTATAAAAGTACTCTCTTGGGTTTTTGATAAATTTTTCTTGTGCTTTCGATAAAAGCGTTTATACATAGAGTGTTTTTACATAAATTTACATAAACATCTCCAATCGAGTATAATCTAATTGCTACTTCAAGTTGGAGAGAGTTTTACTTTAAGTGACATAGCAAATGAAGTTTGTTACTCCATTGCTCCCTCTCGCGAAATTACATTAAAGGTGCGCATCAAACTACAAAGTCGAACCGTCTTGGCACTGAACCAAATCGTATTGAAATGGTTCAGCCAATAATATTATTGGTTCTATATTAAAACCGTTTCAAATCAAACCAAATCAAACCGAACCAATTCGAAGCTCATATACAGCCCACTTACTCATCATTATGACAATATCAACATAAAAGCCCATGTTCGGCCCACATACTCATCGTCAACCCCAAGTCAGTCTGCAATTTCTCACTCCGGCTCACTCTTTTCCCTGACGAACAAACAGCTCAAAATTTCCTAAAACCCTGAAATTTTTTTTTCCCATTCAAATCCCTCTACAAAGTTCGGACCTTTGGAGCCGAAAACTACAGAAATGCTCTCTTCAGCAACCTCTCGACGCCTGAGACCTTTCCTTCTCCTCCGTCTCCGCCAAGCTCAAATCCTCTTGCATTCCTCAGTTCCTCACCCTGTTTCCTCCAAACCCTTTTCAAATCACACCCCCACCGACCCGGAACCGCAATCAAAACCCACTATATACGACCACACCGCCGTCCGCGAGACGCTTTCTTCCTACTGCAACGACTGGAAGAAAGCCCTGGACTTCTTCACCTGGCTGGAAACTGACTGCCACTTCCAGCACACCACCGAGACATACAATCGGATGCTCGACATTCTCGGTAAGTTCTTCGAATTCGAGCTTTCATGGAACTTGATTAACAAAATGAAGCACAACCCAGAAACTGTTCCGAGTTATACTACATTTCGTGTATTGTTTAAGAGATATGTGTCTGCCCACCTTGTGAATGAAGCTATAGATGTTTATAATAGATTGGAAGAGTTTGGTTTGAAGGATGAGACTTCTTATTGTAATCTTATTGATGCGCTTTGCGAGTATAAGCATGTGATTGAGGCCCAAGAATTGTGTTTTTGGAAGAACAAAGATTTGGGTTTTGATAAGAGTACTAAGATACATAATTTACTTCTTCGCGGGTGGTTTCGAATGGGGTGGTGGCGCAAGTGTAGGGACTTTTGGGAGGAGATGGATCGGAGAGGTGTGCGTAAAGATTTGCATTCGTATTCAGTATATATGGATATATTGTGCAAGAGTGGAAAGCCGTGGAAGGCTGTGAAGTTGTATAAGGAGATGAAGAGCAAAGGGATCAAACTGGATGTGGTGGCGTATAATACAGTTATTCGTGCCATTGGTCTTTCTGACGGTGTTGATTTTTCAAAGCGGCTGTTGAGGGAGATGAAGGAACTGGGGTGTGAACCCAATGTTGGGACGTATAATACAATTGTAAAGCTTTTGTGCGAGAATGGGAGATATAAGGAGGCGTTCTTGATGCTTTATCAAATGCCTAAGTTGGGTTGTGTTCCGGACGTGATCACTTATCATTGCATTTTTAAGCATCTAGAGAAGCCAAATGAGATTCTTAGACTGTTTGACAGGATGATTGAAAGTGGGGTTCAACCAAGGATGGACACTTTTGTGATGCTTATGAGGAAGTTTGGGAGATGGGGATTCCTCAGACCAATGTTTCTTGTGTGGGATAGGATGGTTAAACTTGGGTGTAGTCCTGATGGGTCTGCTTACAATGCTTTAATTGATGCTCTCGTGGACAAAGGTATGTTAGACATGGCTAGGCATTATGAGGAAGAAATGCTAGCAAGGGGGCTTTCAGCTAAGCCAAGGAAGGAGTTGGGAACGAAACTTGTGACCAGTGATGATGGGTAGTTGCAATATGATTTCCACACCAGCAATCCCAATATGATTTCTACATCATCTAAATTACTGACATGAGTATCTGGAATACACAATTTTCCACCTGCATCTTTCTATTGAAATGCAAATGGAAGCTAAGGAATACCACCTGAAAAGCGCACTCTGTACCAAAGTATATAGTATATATGGCTCACAGATGATACTATGAAGATGTGCAGTCGAGAACATTAGCCGTTGAGGAAAGAGTTTGGGGTGGTAACTGCATATCACTTGATGACCTTTTGTGCTGGGCTTGATATGGAATGGACACCTATTTCCTGCTCATATGAAAATTAAATGTTGAAGACCTTTTTGATTTAGGACATTGCATGCATCCAATGCACCTGTGACCGCTGCCTGTTAGTTGAAAATGTTGATTGTATTGGTTGTCCAGAGTCCAGACAATGCTTCTGTTGACTTAAAGAAGTGTTATTTTACAATGATCATATACACGAGTTAGGAAGAGTTGGAATCCTTGAAGAAGAGTCTTGTATCAATGCTATTACGGTATTACCCTTCCACTTCATGGTTCATTGCAGCTTGAAATGCAGGCAATCAAAGATTTTTGTAATGGAGATGTAATTTCGGGGAGTGGTGTGGTTGATCTTGGGAAATGCCATACAGGTAAGTGTATTTAGCCCCCAACTTCCAAATTGTTGGAGATTCATTGGTGGTATTGGCCCAAAAGCGTTGCTGAAAGTTTTAGGGATTGTTGGTACTATTGATGATGCCTTGATATTACATCATTCTGTCTTATATTTTCTTTCTATGTTTCTTTTTATAAAACATGAGGTTTTCTTGATTGTTTGCCACATGATTCCATGTAAGCAACGCTAATATTGGCAAATATAATTTTTGAAGAAAACATCTTTGCTACATCGTTGTGTCTTCCTATATATGATTCAAAAGTTCAATCACACTAGTTTATGCCATAGTGGAAGACTTCAAAATAGTTAGTCACGGTAGTAAACAAAAACCCATCAACTGGCATATATTCCCTTGATGTTATTTAGCAGTTGCAGGTTACCATTGACTCTTGTCGTCATGTTCTTTTAGCTAGACAGGTTCAGTCATCATATGCATTCTTAAACTTTGCTGCTGCACGTAGTGTTGGGTGCAATTGTGGTGGAACAGTTTGACGAGTATGTAAAAGAACATATGTTGCTATGCTTTCTCAAAGGATATTCATTCCTCTTCTTTATTCACACATCTCATACTCTACAGCTGCTATCACCCTGAGGTGTACTATGCTGCAGTTTGTTCAACCCTGCACTTATAATTTGAATCTTGATCCTTTTAACTCGTGCGGGAAAAGGACTTGGAAACTGATGTTTGCTGGGTTTCTTCACTTGTTGTGTGTTCTGTTTTATTGTTTTTAACACTACAATTTTCAAATGAACCAGCTATCAGAAGCAATCAGTATTAGCAGCTTCAGCTACCAAAATGTATAGTTCTCACCTAAAGAACTAGTGATAACTTTAAACCATTGCGTGTCCGTTCTAAAGAGATGGGCAAGATATCATGTCTTTGTGGTGTTATCCCCTGAGATTATCTTTGGTTGCAAACTGAATTCTAGTGACTGTAGATACATATGATCGGTACATGTTCTTCAACATGCAGGACGAGCTGGAAGAACTCATCTTGTGAAATGCCATCGGTTATATCTTCCATGGTTTACCGAGTTCCAGAAATTCAGTGTTCATCTCATGCCTGAAGTGGTCTTTATTCGAACTGTTCAATTTTCTTGATTCTCCTTCCTGCAAGTCTAATTTCTTCTTCAGTCCTTTTCTTCTCTTTTCAGCCTTTCAGGCATACAATTAGAGTTCCTAAAAGAAATAATAGAAACTCATGTCATGACCAACTGTTCTAGAAATTCTTCTTTGCTTGTAGATTTTCTTGTTTCGAAGAATCGAAATTAGGGAGCTAGGCTTCCGAAACATCATTTTAATCGAAGAAAAACATGCGTGGAAGAAATACTTTTCGCAGTTTTTGAATCATGCTGTTTTTGTTTATGGCTTCCAAATTCTAATTTTCCTCATTGTTAAAGCTTTTGCCACTTTTTACCTATAGCGACACTTCTGATGTGCTTCAAGCACCGTCCGCAGGAAGCAAATTTGAAACCTTTCTCCAGAATCTTCTTATTCTTATGACTTCAACCATCGAAGGTTGAAAATTCATGCTCTTCACATGCACCTACTAGGAACTAGTTGAATTGTTGACATGCAATTTTGCAATAAACACCATCTCATTCTTTATATGTAAGGAGAGTCAATCAGTCACGGGCAAAAACATCTCATTGAATCACAAAACCAACAAAAATCTTGTGCTGTATGTCAATTTGCGTGTTGGAATACAACTTCTTACGTGTCAGTAGCCAAGTTTTTTTCCTTTCAATTTCAACAGACTAGTTCTTTTTAACAACACAGTAATCTAACCTACTCTACATAATGAAGAAGGAAATCCGAACTTGAGTGTTGGAGCCGGACGCATTGTCCGCGCCAACCCTTCACCTACCTGTACATATTTCAACGGTCTAGTTCAAACCGATGAAGCTCGTGGTTATTATGCACCATTCTGTTTAATTCAAAGTTTGCTTTCTATAATGTCCCTGTTTGAAAAGTTTCAAAAAAGGGTTTCTCAAACCAACCGCTAGGATCATCCCACGCATGACAGAGTGGCTTCCAAGAAGGTGACAAGTGGACCAAACCCAATTCAGATTCAGATCCTCCAAACAAATAGGGACCGTCAGTGCCATAAAAGACTGCAAATAATACACATATTTGTGGAAAGTTAAAAAAAAAAAAATTGAACAAAAATCTAAGGCCATAAATATATGTGGCTCCTAACTGCTATCCAATACAATAAACCAAAGGCTCTCGAAATTACACAACAACTATCACAAGTTGAGTCACAAAAACATTAAAGTCCGCAACTTTCTCAGAAACTAGAGCCCCGGTTTTCTGTTTCTTTTGTATTGGTTCAATGGCAACCTCAGTTTCTGCAAGTTTGAGTTCGTCGTTCCATGGAAGTTGGGGGAGTTCGGTTGTCGGAGAAGATTATGGGACGCTGGTGAAGGCGGTCCCGAGCCAAGTGAGAGTTGGGAAGGCAGTGAGAGCGCAGCCGATGATGAAGAACGTCAATGAAGGCAAGGGTGTCTTTGCACCTCTTGTTGTTGTCACACGTAACATTGTTGGCAAGAAGAGGTTCAATCAGATTAGAGGCAAAGCTATTGCCTTGCACTCGCAGGTAATTAATAAGTAAATCTTCCCCTTGTGTCTAAGATTAAACTTTGGTTAAGTAATGTGTCATTCTTGATCAACCATTAGTATTGTCGATGATCAATTCTGGGTATAGTTAGTTATATCAGCGTGCGTCTCTATACGAACTCAAGTTTGAAAACCCTTTCTCATAGTTTACTTTAAAAATAATTAGAATACTGTTCAAAACAAGAGAAAAAAAGTCACATATACCACTTTGAAAATGCTTTAAATTGGTAACCATCAAATTTTCAGTTTTTCTTTTTTGTTAATATCAAATTTTCAGTTTGGTTTTCAATTGTTTAAGATGAAAACATAATTGGTAGGTAAAAAGACGAATAGTTGAAAAAATGAGGGTTTTTGTTTGAAGGTAATTTCAATTATGTTCTTTTTGTTCACCTTCTCTTTTTACCTCACAAAACCAAGTGGTGAGAGAGACAGAGTATGGTAACGAGTTAAGATTGTGATAGTTTCACGTTCGGTTCCCTCAAATTATGGAATTATGGAATTGTATACCTTTATAAGCATATAAAGTTTTCCCTCTCCAAGATCTTAGCCTTCATTCGAACCAAAAGAAAAGGGGTGGTATTATATAGATGTTCTTGAATTATTAAGAAACTCTATATTCCCTGCAGGTGATTACCGAATTCTGCAAATCGATCGGAGCAGACGCGAAACAAAGGCAAGGACTGATCCGGCTGGCGAAGAAGAACGGAGAACGGCTGGGGTTCCTGGCATGATCGAATCAGTAGAGCATGGACACCTCCATTTTGTTGTCACAAGTAGAAATTTGATGTTATAGTGTAATTTTCATACTTCATTCCAAAACGACTTCCACATGCATATACTCCCCACCAGCTGGGATTCCTTCAACATCACCACAATGTATAATTTGATGTCTGCTCTCCATAACATATGCACTTTTCATGATCATTCTTCAGTCAAGTTCCACTGTTTCATTACTAAACCTGAGCTGGGCCGGTTGGCTAGGATCGTGTGTCCGCCCCTGTAAACCAAAGTTCTTCACCCGTATCCTCGAAATTTCCCCAATATCGGCCTTCAATAGAGCATAAATGCCGGATTTCCTACAACATCGATTTGAAATATAAAGAAAGCGGAAGGAAGGGCAACTACAAACCTCAACATTAAAACTGGCAGCCACCGATACCACCAGTATCGGAAATTGGCAGTCAAGACATCCACCCCAATAGTATCTGCCTGGCCTATTGGATAGAACCTGGAACAATAACAGAACCCTACAAGTAACATCTTCCCAAACTGAAACTGCTATAAATCTGCAAGTTAACCTTGTAATTGAACCTCGATTAACCATTCGTGAAATCAAACGCTATGGCTAATCAGATACACAATATCCATCTACAAGAGCGAGAAATAAGAAATCTAGCAATCATGCAGATTTGAATCATTTGATTGTCAACTCAAGTAAAGCATGGGTGTATTACAAACAAAACTTAATTTTAGGTGTACTCTGAGAAATTTTGAATGTTACAAACAAATCTTAGTTTCTGCCTACTTGAAAATTTTTCCAAATCATAACATAAAGAACAAGATCATACTATGGTAATAAATATATGTAGACAAACATCTCCTCTAGCTTTTCTCAACAGAAAATTTGTGATGGTGTTCACAACTTTGGTAATGAAGAGTGAAGACCTGGCACCAAATCAATTACACATAGTATCGAGGCTTTGCTGATCTTTCCCTTTTAGAATCGTCCTGCAATGACAGAAGAAGTGAGAAGTAGAATTAAGATAACTCCAACACAAATAATACCAACTGAAACTTACATGGAAGCTGTAGGTGATCTTATCGGTAACATCGATTATCTCCTTCCACTTTCTCCCAATGCTCATCTGCATGACAAGATAAAAAATTCAGCCACTTGCCCACATCTTAAAGTTGCAACAGATCACATGCAAAAATTCAAGGAAATAGAATCAACAATTAATGGATCCACCTATTGCTAATAGGGCAGAGGTCAATCGAGTATATAATATAAAATCAAATTCGTATTAAGAATCATATTTCAGTTGATTAATAAAGATCAGCAATTTTTCATGGATGGTTTCGCTTCTTAGGATATGCAGAGATCTATATCATAGTTCACAGATAAGCTGGGGCTTTAACTATATCATTGTTAACATCAGAGCAGATTAAAATTCACCCAAACAGGAATACAGATCAAGCAAACCCACAATGCTTAAAACATCCTATTTAAAGTGAAAGTTTGAATGACACCTGTGCAGCCTCGTTTGCGGCATTCCTAGTCCATAGTGCAAGTTTGTCCTGCCTCAGGCGCACACTTGCTACCACTCCGCATATCTCATCAGCCTCATCAAATTGCTCTCCAATCAGTGCCATCAACTATCCAATAAAATAGAAACCCCTTAGTATCAATTTTCAAGTAAACCCTAACGTAACATGAATCAACCTAAGTGACTAGCCCAATGCATACAATAATCTTCTGCCACAGTGAGCAAGAACCAACCATTCTCACTGCTGAGGAGATCAAGATTATATACAGAGCAATATTCAGTGTCCATATAGTTTAGCATGCTATTTGGCAATATCAATCAAAACCGTTAATTAGGTGAAATCAAGTCTAATTGTATGTCTTGATTCAATGTCTGGAAAGAAGTATCCTAAACTATGATTCCTCTATATGTGTGTGTATTGTGTAAGTGCGCGTGAATCAGTATAATGTTTAACTATAAGGAAATCGAAATCTCACAGTCTCTAGCCACATGGTATCAAGGTTAGCCTTCCTGCTGCTGGTGACAGTCCACTTCCCTCCATTAGCACACTCAGGATCCTCCCACTTTGGTTCAACCCCAGCCCGGAACAAGTGGAAGTCTGCATTAACTGTCAACTTGCTGGGCTTGAATACGTGATCATACAGACTGCAAACAGATTTTGCATCTCAACGTCAAATTTCCGGATTGGAATCAGATTAAAATTCAGAACTTGATTCAAGTGAAGTTGCATATAATCAGAGTTTGTAGGTCCACAATGAAACTATAATTCGGATGGAGAAGAACCGAAAATATTAAAAAATTAACTAAATGCAGCTGGGTAGCTTAATTGTCTAGACTTAAAAAAATTCTCCACTAAATTTTCTCATCAGCCAAGCATAATCTAATTACAAAGTTAGAAACGTTAAAGCTCAATTTTTTGAAACAAAAAGACCAAATACTCTGGTACATTACTTGGATTTACAGAAAAATTCCACTAAATTTTCTCATCAACCAAACACGATCTAATTACAAATCACATACCAATAAACAAACTAGCAAAAGTCAGCAAACACCCACATATCATAAATACGAAAACAAAAACCGAATGGAAAAAAATACAGAGAAATAAAATTAATTCAATATTCAAACCCAATAATTGAAAATCCCAAATTAACAAAGGGGAAGAAATGGGGCATTAGGTTTAGCTCATGTAATCTAATTCTTACCACCAAAACTCCTGGACGGTTTCGAAGGTGTAGGCTTTGCGGAGCGAGGAGCCCCACGCAGCACCTTGCTTGGGCTTGGATTGGTTATCGAACCAAAAGGTCCACTTTCTCTCCAGCTTGTGGGGACCGCTGCTTGCCTGTATCTTGGTATCAGAGGCCGCCGCCTCAGCCGCAATATTCTCCTGTGTGTCCACCTCTGTTCGCGGCACCGCTGCTGCTACCTCTGTCGCCATTGTTGTCACTTGTGAAAACCTTTTGAGCCGTCTGTGCGTCTGGGTTTTGTTGATTGGAAGGAGGAGGAGAAAGGAGAGAGCACACGGTTTTGGAATCGGGTCCTTATATTTGGAGGATCCGCGGGGCCATTGTTATGTTATGTGCCCCTGGTCTGACCCGATGGGTAGGCTCGCATGAGCCCAACTAGGTGGGTCGACAACAATGCAATGTTGTTTGAAGAAATTTTTAACACACGTCATTGTATTATTATGCAAAATGTCGCTGTAGTAACGTACCCATAAATTACTCTCAAAATCATCAAATTCAAACTCAACATCTTACAATTTAGTACAAAGAAAGAAGATTATTATCCCAAACAAAAGCCTAAAAGAGTGGAACGCGGCAACAGTTGAGATTTAGTTAAATTCTCACAAAATGAGCGGGTGAATGAAGCTTGGAAGATGATGTATGTACAATCTTTTTGCCAAATTTTAAATAAAAAAATTATCATATTTTCTTAAATTTAGTACTTCAATATGCCTAATATGCCGTAATTGTTTGATTAGAATCTTCTTAAAGCCTCAATCTGCCTAGCATTTGTCTTTTAAGAAGATGCTAATCAAACATTCGTGGCATAAAAATACTAGGCAAATTGAAGTATAAATTTGATAGTTGATGAAATTTCTAGATTAAAGGCACTTGGAGCAAAATGACACTTAAATCTCTCAATTCTTATCACGGTTGAAAATTTTCATCCTCATCACATAACCCTCTCACTTAATCAACGTTCATCGTTCAATGGTTATTGACCCCATTCAAATCAAACCCACTTTGCATCTGGTGGCAGGTGTTGGATGCAGTGTGATGGCCATAGTATTGGACGATCGTGACTCGCATAGAGTCTTTTTTTCTTCTCTTTTGTTTATGAATAGATGAGGTGTCTGTCACTTAGTGTGGTGTTGACGTTTAATGGTGATGACATTCGTCCATGTTACTGAATGAGAAAATTGGGGTTTTTTTTTTATCCAAAGATATTTCATTAAGGATTAAAACATGATTTTAGAAAGTACATTCATCTGGGTGTACGTTAAACTGGGTGTATTTTTTCAATGATCAAATCCTTGATCTGAAAAGAGCAAAGCACAACAAACAAACATAAGTACATTCTCTACATAACCACCACAAACAGCACAATACAGAAGAACTAGCGGTGTAAATCTTCCGCAATAGATCAGTAGTGACAAATCCCAAATCGAGGAATACACAAAACCATCACGAAAATGAGGCCACACAACCTTTGGGTGGCACAAATAAACACAAACTTCAACTAAGCCGAGAAGGAAATCACCAACAACTCATCTTCAAAGAGAAAAACATGGCAACTTGTTCTGATCATCAAAACCATCACCGTAGAAGAACATGCAAACATAAATTTTTATTTACATCTTTGGGCGAAAATGAATAATTTATATTCCACCACTAAGAGCTTTCTGACCATAAAAAATTAAAATGCCCATTCGAAAATATATACTATTTAGTTATTAGGATAGCATAATGGTGAGCAGTGGTGAAGCTACTGAGATGCAAGGAGGTGTGAGTACACATTTCGTCAAAAATTGACCTTAAGAGAGAGAATTTGCCCTTCTGCTAGACTATTGTTGTGCTCATGCGACCATTGTTTTGAGCACACATTTCATCAAAAATTGACCTTAAGAGCAAGAATTCGCCCCTATGCTGGACTGTTGTTGGGCTTATGCGACCATTGTTCTAGGCTAAGCTATGCAGGTCTAGACAAGGTTGGACGGGCACTAGGGGGTATGTAGAGAAGCCAGAATGTGAAAATGTTTTTGTTGCAAAGCTGGCGTGCGTAAGAAAGAAGATGATATCCTTTTTTTTGGGAATTGTTATTAACACTTCAAAAATCTCATTTTACACTCCAAACTTTCTGTAATTAGAAAGAAAAATACACTTGTAAAGAATGTAGAACGAAATTTTTGGAATGTTAATAACAGTTCTTTTATTTTTATTTTTTATCTTTAACTAATCTCGTATCCCTTTTCTTACACTTAAAATGGTCCCACCATCTTTTATTTCCTCACCTTTATATTACTTGGTGCAAGGAAGTGCGACCATACCTTAGGTCATTGAAAATTGACTCCAAGAGCGAGAATTCGCTTCTCTGCTAGATTGTTGTTGCAATTATGCGGCCATTGTTCTAGATGGAGCTATGCAAGTCTGG